CAATCAGCACACTAACCTTAATTTAATTGCTACAAATCCCTTTTGTACCTATTTGACTTTTCTGCATTGAAACATTTACCCATTGAAACCTAAAGACGTTTATATTCTTAGATTGTGGCCCGGCAGAACGAAATTTCAGGAGGTCTCGTTCTGTTTTGAACGGTTCCGGTGGTGGAATTTGTTCCGTGAACCATTCCGTCCGGAACGGGCTATACCTACTTGTGGCTGAATAATAAATAAATTATTTGTGTAAGAAAGAAAAGGGCTAACATTTGAAATTAAAATAGCATCAGAAAATTAAAAGAAATCACTAATATAGACTCATCAGAAGAAATTGTTGGCAGAATCAAATTCAGAAGAAAAAATCTGGTGTGTCCACTTCGACAACTTCCCTAACTATTTCAGAAAAGTATTTATATCTTTACATATGTCCATCAAGAAAAAAAAAAATGAATTAATTTATTTTCCTGAAAATTAATCAATGAAAAGATTTGAGTACAATTTATTTGATAAAATAAAGCAATGTAAACCGGCTTAAGGTAGATCAGTGTACAAATTTCAATACCCTCTAATGTTGCTGATCAAATACTTTTTGCCATAGCCTAAGTTTGTCAAACAATAATTTCAGTTAAAAATAGAGGAAATGGTGAAGCTTGTGTGATGCGGGCAACTGATTTTCTTACTTTTACTTAGTTATCTTCTTTCTCTCATCCAACCCTTTCTGATACCAGGATATGAACCCGTAATCTTACATTGGAAATTGAATAGCTATAACTTCATTAATAGTTGTCCGACATGAGCGATTTTTATATAGTTTTTTAGCGAATTTCATTACCTTTAAAAAAAAAACAGAATAAACGGTGATTTTTCAGGGGGCTCTGAAAGGTATAGATCCGTCGAAAAATTCATATCGGAAATTTGGCAATACTTTCCTTAATTAGTATAGGTAGGAAAGTAATAAATTGAAACATGTATAGAAACTAGAATAAGCTGTATCATTGCTAATACTGGTTCGATTCCGATGATTTTTTTTTTGTTTTGTTGGTAATTTAATTACCTTTATCAAAAGAGATCTTGATATTAATGCTCCTTCAAAAGAAAATTTGAACCAAAATTGTAATAAATGAAATATATCTATCTGTCAGTTCAAGATAAGTGTGGCTAATCATTCAAAAAGAACCATTAAATCAAAAATACTTTTATTTAAAATTTACAAGGCTAATAATCTTATTTTTTAGCAATTTTTTTTTTCAATTTATAAAACAATTATTTCATGAGGAACGACCCGAATTCGCATGGAACCAATCCGATGAAATGATATCAAATAAGGAAGATATACCGCCAGTCACAATCATAGAACTGGATTCAGTACTCAAAGGAATGAAAAATAGAAAATCTCCCGGTCCTGGTTCTATTCCAATTGAATTAATTAAAGCAGGTCCGACTGAACTCAAAATGGCACTGGCAGAAAGTATGACATTTCTGTTAAATGGTGGAGAGATCCCCGAAGAATGGAAACAGGGTTATATCACTCCAATTTTCAAAAAAGGCCAAAAGAAAGACGTTTCCAACTACAGAGGTATTACTGTTACCAGCTCGCTGAGTAGATTATACGGCCGGATAATTAAAAGCAGAATTGAAAATGATTTAAAGGAAGAGATCAGCGAGGAACAGGCGGGTTTTCGAGCTGGAAGATCATGCACTGATCACATTTTTAGTCTCTCACAACTTATAGAAAAGAGGATGGCCCACGACCGTGAACTCCATTTGATATTTGTAGATTTACACAAGGCCTATGATTCAGTACCTCTAGTGAAATTGTGGAAAGCTTTGGAAGCCACATCTATTAAGAGATACCTCATCAGAGCAATTCAAGAGCTCTATAAAAATATAAAGGGGGCTATAAAAATAGGAGATAGAGTGTCTAGAAGCTTCTTCATTAACAAAGGATTGAAACAGGGCTGCTGCCTTTCACCCCTGATTTTCAACATTTACATAGAACAAGCCCTTAAAAACTGGAAAAGATCGTGCTGTGGAATGGGTGTTCAAATCGGGAATGATGTCATCTACAATTTGCAGTATGCCGATGATCAAGTCATAATCGCATCGGATCCGGATGATGTTAGCTATAAGATGAGGAAGTTGCTAGACACGTATTCCAGATGGGGGCTGTAAATCAGTGAAAGTAAAACAGAGTATATGGTTTTCAACGCTCCAAATTTGCCCCTTGAAATTGATGACTGGACGCTAAATGTCAGCCAGCAGTTCAAGTACCTCGGATACTGGTTATCTTCAAAGGGTGGTAGTGAGGTTGATATCGAACATAAAATAAATAATGGGAAAAGAATAATAAGTTCGATAAATTCAACCCTATGGAGTAAAGAAATAAGATTAGAAACTAAAAAGAAGATATACCATTCCTTTGTAGAAAGCGTAGCCACTTACGGATCAGAAGTCTGGACACTGACAAAAAAGATGGAAAATAAGTTGCTTTCCATGGAAATGGATTTCTGGTGAAGAAGCTGTGGCATTATCTAGAATGGAGCGGATCCCAAACGCAGCTATTAGAGACAAGGTCGGATGTCAAAAGAACATCCTTCACCTGATCGGGACCAAACGGTTAAAGTGGTATGGCCACTTAATGCGGATGGATGAGAACCGCTGGCCAAAGAAAATTTATAACTATATGCCACCTGAAAGAAGGAAGCGTGGAAGGCCGAAGAAGAAATGGACAGAGGATGTGGAGGAAAGCATGGCAGCCAGAGGGCTTCGTGAAGGAAATTGGATGGAAAGGGAGCAGTGGCTTTTGGGTGTTGGGGATATGACTCCTTAAGTTGTATAAAACCCAAATAAAAAAAATAAATAAAACAATATGATAGCACTTTATAAAACATTTTTAATCTGATACTTAAAAACATGAAAAATACTTTAGCGACTTTAATTTAATATGTATCATGGCAAAGTAAACTAATATGAAGAAAGGAAGGGCAAGTAGTGGGCTCTGGTTAGGTATTAAAAAGTAATTTAATTGTAAGCTATGTTGCATGCAGGATTTCAAATTTGATGAGAGTTGAAGTATGTAGTGTTGATATAATATTTCGTATTATATTATAGTTGATATACATCGTTTTTTGGGAGGAGTTCTTTTTAATATTGTTAAATTTTCATTCGTTATTTAAAGAAAACTAAATTCTAATAGGTGAAATAAATTTGAGGTTGGTAGAGAAATAGGTAAATCCTGAATATTCATGTAGTGTGTATTCAGGAAAAACATGTAGTGTATTATAAAAAAAGATCTAAAAATACAATTTTGAATACCATAGGTGTTTAGTTCTTATAAATGTGTGATAATTCTGAATTAGAAATGATAACTGTCCACACATTAATTCAATTACAATTGGTAATAGGGTGGTGAGTTCACATAGATTTCAGAGAAGGGTAGCTCTGTCATTGATATTTCCTGAGCATCGGTTTCCATTAAGTTCTTAAAATTTATACTCGGCTTATGTCTATTGAAGTTTTCTGAACTTAAATCAAACAAGCAATCTTAGGAATCGTAATGTCCCAAAATAAAGTAAATTTTCATGGTCATGGCAAGAACAATGGCATTTTAAATCAAAACTAGAAAATAAATTAAAGTGTAAAATGAGGTAAATCAAAGATTCAGACTTATAATTAGACCTATTATAAAATAGCTCTAGAGACCTCTCCCAGTCTTCACTGGACTCCCATACCGGTGAAGCGGCTGAGAGAGAAAAGCTGGGATCTCGTGGAAATTGAATTGAATCTTGCCTTGTCCTTCACAGAGGGGAAAAGGTCCAGACTCAGAGCTCCCTCAGCTGACTGTAAATATTGTAATTTAATTTACATTTTACTTTATTTCAAACTTTTTTTCTTTTGTTTTTGTTTTTAGTTGCAGTTTTTATTTTTACTTATGTTACAACTTCTCTTTGGCGACCTAGTATCACCAAAATAAGTTTCATTGAAATAAGTGACTTAACGTCCCTTATCTCTGCCAGTAAGTGGTGTTTGAATGTACTTGGTTGTTAATCGATTTATTAAATAAGCTTAATATATATTTAGAAGGTTAAAAATTTATATGCAAATTTTTTAAGAAATATTTTGTTATCTACATAACTAAAAAATAATTTCCACATTCATACAAATTTATTTAGTTAGCACTAACCTCATCAATAGCATCTAATCTAATCGGATCTATCTCTAAATTGGGCAAAATGATGCCATTGATGAGCTCAGTGTGCTCGGTTTAGGTACTTCCTCCAACTTACACTGTCATTCCAAGAACAGGGAGATCAAATGAGATAGTGCCCGTTAATCATGTTGAAATGACACTTGTGAAGGAGTACCTGGTTAATTTTAATATCATAAAGTAATGTATCACAGCAATGTAGTAATCCAAAAGCTGTTCAGCTAACAATAAAAATAAAAATAGAAGAATTGGGTAAGGAGATGGCCCAGGGTGGCAGTCATAAAGACTAAATTAGTGTAAAAACTATTTTATTTATTTAATAAGATAATAATAATGAATTTTTTCACTATTTTAGAGTTTATATGACTGCCACCCCGGACCATCTCCTAACTCAATAACATACCACGTTCAACAATCAAGTATACAATAAAATAGAAGAATATGTTAACATTGCTTCGCACTTATGAAATATTAAAGATTGTTAAATAAATAAAAATACCAATTTGATTTACTATGGTTTATTTACTCATTTTATTAACTTGGTATGTAACTAATTTCAATATAAAACGATTAAAACATGAGTGGATGATATTAAATTGGAACTGCAAGACTAGGAATAACTAACTAAAATCGTCCTCTTACATTAAAAGTCCCAAACAATAATTGTAACAAAATTAATATATTTACTATTTATTATATATGTAGTTAAAGTTAACAAGTGAAACGGTACTACATTACACTGACGAAAATTAATAGAAAAGAATTTAAGAAAAGAAATGCAATTACCAACCCCATCCAGCTTATTTCCTTCATTAGATTCATTTTTCCCTTCATCCACAGTAGTGTTCGACCTCTCACCATCCATAACTAACAATGCTATAATAACTGAAAAAAAAATCAATCCTAATTAAATAAGAAAAGACTGACAGATAAATACATGAGCTAACAACCAGAACGAAATCAATCAAACAAATTGACACAATTAGAAAAAAACAAATAAAACTTACGAAATTCCTTTTGAAACAAGACAGAGAACTCAAATAAGAATCAAATCCAAAGCAGCTTAAAAGAAAAACTTCGTTTGGGGGCGTTTAATATTTTAACTTTCCCACCAATAAAGAACATAAGTGAATGACGTCACGTAAGGCCTTATAATTTTCAGGATGATGTGTATATTAACTTAATTGAAAGTGTCGTATATGGGATATTGATTTTTATTGATTTGGTGTATCAATTGTTAACAGTGGGGTGATCTGGATAGAGAATTATTATTACGTAATCGTTTTAAGTTTGTGATAATTCTTTTCAATAAATCACTTTGAGTTAAAACCTGACATAATTTTCTTATTGTAAAGATATTACAAACTTGGTGACGAGGATGGGATTCATTTATGAAAAGTTTTCCAGAGATTACTGAAAATCGAAGATATCGAAACTGAAGAAAATTTGCAAGGTAAGCATTTTCTATATTGCTTTGAATTCAACTATTCAAAACCAAGATAGTGAAAGAATAATCGTTGGACAGTTATGAGAGTTTTCTCTTAAAACGAATGTGGAGTGTAAAAGTCTAATATGTAAAATTTTTCAAAAAGTTAATAGACATTTTTTCAAGGCTGAGGATCTTAAGCGCGACACAATTATAAATGCTTTGAGTGAGGACACTTTCAAATTTATCCATTCCCGCAAAACCAGAATCTTTTTCCTACAAAAACCTGGTCGTTTTGTTGGATAATCATTTCTCGAAAACAGAATCTGTGCTTACATCAAGCTTCAAGAGAACAAAATGATAGTATTAATGAATGGATATCCCGACTTCGTAATCTAACGGGTAATTGTAAGTTCGGCAGTTATATCGACAAAAGATCGGTAGAGAGATTCGTAATTCGAATGCAAAAGTGTCCTGCACATGACCATCTGTTTTAGAAGAACGATGAAACGCTCCTTGCTGATCAACTTCATTACCTGGTGGACCTTATCATTTGATGGTCCTATATATACACCTTTAGCGACCACCACGCTATCCTCACTTGGGGATAGCATTGGGTACCAAGAAGCAGTGATAGGCAAGAACGATAGGCGTTCCATTGGAAAACAAAGACGTTTGGCAAGGATGCATTTCAAATCATAATGGAGAAACAGTGTGAGGTGTTAGGACCAGCAAATGATAAGGTCCACCAGGTAATGGAGTTGATCAGTAAGGAGTGTGACGTGTCCATGTTTCGCACCAATCGAAAGATCGGACGATTGTCGGTTTATTGGTGAAATGAACTCAAAGCAGATTGCCGTAAACTGTGCCACTCTACGAGGAGGTACCAAGGAGGAAAAGATAGGCCACAGGCAATCCGCCAGGCAATCAAGAGGCGATACTAGATGAAACTCTACAAAGAAGTAGATCAGGACCTATGAGCAAGGCCTTACAAAGCCGTCGTGAAAAAGCTAAAGATGAGCGTTACACAATTGCATGTATCCGAACAATCATTGCCTCACTATTTTCAGAACATCAGGTACTTACATAACATGGCCGCTAACGCCACCAGTGTCGGCTGAAGAGCTCGGAGATATCTGTACCAGCCTTGAATGAAATGAAATTAATGAACGGAAAAAAAAAAATTATTCTGGGACTAAAGCCCACTAAGAATAATAATAACATGGTACAAAACCTTGGTCCATTAGTCTAGTTTGACAAAAAAGAAAGAGGTCATTTGAATGTTATTTTAAATTGCTATAGCAATCATATTTGAACAACGATAGTAAACAATTTAACACTCATTTATTTATTCAACAAAAGAATAAAAGAATAGCTTACCGTCTATATGCCAGCCTAGAGCTTCTTTTTTACCTTGGAGGGCCCTCCGCCGTCGGTCCTTGCTGGGTCAATGCTGGTCAAGTAGAGGTTTCGAGTCAACCAGTCTCTCTCAAGGCTTAAGTGTTATCTTTTATCTTTTAGATCTGCCCCCACCATTCGCCGTAACGCGGGAAATTCAAATGAAAACTATTCTTTGGCCAACCAGATGTAGTTTTATGGGAAGGGATATATAAATCAATAGGTTGAGCTCTGATATTAAGGAAATGGATATAGTAACGTAGAGTGAGAAATTCCATGATATAGAGAGGATTTTTGGTTCTTAGGGCCTGGAAAAGTAAAACACCAAGATGGAATTGTCGTCAGGAAGTAGGATAGAGCTACTTCAACTCGGTATACCAGTGGGTAATATGTGAACGCCTGGGAATTTCAAAGATTAATCTTATAAAACAGGTCTCTTCAATGTCACCTCCAGTATTTCAGACAGCCCTCCATACACCAAGGAACCGTAGTTGATGTGATGAAAAACGAGATACGGTTTTCTGAGGAATAGAATCACGGAATCTTAGTAGTTGTTTAAAGACAGTTATGGATTTTCAGGTTATCTGTTGAAAATGGTTATTCCAGGAAAGTTTCTCATCAAAGATAACTTGACTGTTGGGAAAAAATGGATGGGCGGTTATTGAGGTAAAGTAGGAAAGAGAACTAATGAGAAGCCTGGACCCGATGAGAATAGCCTTAGTTTTATCTACATTCAGCATTAACTCATTTATTTCTGCCCATCTGTTGATGCAGTCAATATCCTTTTGTAGCTTTAGGGTAGCCTCAAGCATCTCAGATAGGTGTAAAGATCGGTAAATCTGGAAATCACCGCCATATAAGTGGTAACGGGAGTGATTAATGGAGTCAGAAAGATCATTAATATAAATAGAGAAAAAGATCGGAGAAAGGGGTTAAGATGAACTTTCGAAGAGAGAAATCGTATATGTGCAACAGTGCGGGAAATAAGTCTGGAAGCCAGAGTTTAATGATTTTAACGGGTATTTGGCCAGGTCCATAATCGTTGGTTCTGGATTTAAAGATAGCAGATTGTCGAGGTATGGCTGGTAAAGGGGATTTCCTCCTCACCTGAATCCAGTGCCAGGCGTTATTCGCGCTTGTCCAGATTAGCAACTGGAGGAGCACTGTTCATTATAGCACCCAACAACAAAACATAACTCACAAAGGTCACTCCTGTCGCCCTATGCTCTTTCTCTGCCTAAATGGTTGAGCCCGCCCGGGCGAGATGCTTCAGAGTGTACAGATGGAAACGAGGGATGGCACACCTCGGCCGCTAGGATAGTACAGGAGCCCGCACCTCCTAACTAGAAAGGAATGGCTGCTCCATCAGCCCCGTGTAAAAGTTCATATGTTACATTAGTACCAGTTGGTGACTGGATGGGGCCCTGATGCATGGATCGGCGTTGCTCCTCCAAGGCCACTGGAATCTACTCTCGGGTGACACGTTCTTCCGGAAGGGAGTTGGGGCTAAGATGGCAGCATACCTACACTCACACCATACATTTAACACAAGACACAACAAAACAAAATACTACCGATGGAAAGAATAGAAGAAGAGTAGCCTGAAGTGCCAGCTGCAATGGAATTATAGGCGGGGCAGTCCTCCCAGACTGCACAAGACTCATTAGAAACGGAAGGAGGGAGCTGGCAGGAAGTTAAACCCAGACATGGCATGGTGGTACGGCCATACCAGCTCCCATCTAGTCCTTTAAGCCAAAGGGTGGACTCAGACAGAGAATCTACTCGACTTATGTCGAATACGTCGACCGAGACAGATCAGGGAGGGACGCAAAGTCAGTCCTCTCCTGGAAGTGTTTCAAAGGAAGAGGCCGAGAAAATTTAAAAGGCCAAATAAAAAATAAACTCTACCGCAAAATTAAAAGGCGAACGGGAGCAATTAAAAGGCAAGCCGAACGGGTGGTCATTAGGGAGGAGCGTCAAACGCTTATCTCTGATCCGGCTACCCATAGGCAGCCTCATTTATTAGGGAATACCATGGGTCGTTTCCCTCTAGTTAGACAAGAGAGGAATTATCCCAGAACTCCCTTAGAGCCAATACAGGAGGGGGGAGAGGAGGCTGGTCCTTTCTAGTATCCCTTCTCTTGCTAGACAGGTACGGGCATCCTCTTCAAGGGCCGATCCTGCCATCAAATACACAAAAAGACGGAGGCCTGTTGAGGAGTCCTCACCTACGGATATCCGCCGGCAAGACAAAATAAGGCCGAAGCATTCACCTAGGAGATACAGTGACTCTGTTGCAGGACCTTCCTCACAGCAAGGCACTCAGTTGGATCAGGGAATACCCGATCCTACATGGACGTTGCAGCTGGGAGGGCATTGCCAGACTAATAAGAATCTTGGACTACCAGAATGAGGAGCTGGTCGGAATCTCGAGATGGCAGTTATTAGGAACTGAGGGCGACGCAGGACACCTGAAAGAGGTGTTTAAGGTGCCGGGCATCTCAACGGCATGGTTTGAGGCTCATGAGTGGCGCATAAACTGCGAGCTAGTTTGCTTAACAGTTTGGAGGACCCCACCAACCGCCTCAAGACCTGTCAACCCCTCACAGGAAGACACTAGGAGGAGCAGGCGCCATTAGGCTCCTGCACTTCCTACTTCCCCTTAACAACAATGGAGTCCAATGTGATTAAGGTAAGACAAATGAATATGCAGCATAATAAATTGGCTATGGCCGAATTAGCTAAGCTTCTCACGGGGGTTAAATTAACCCTCGTTCTAATACAAAAACATTATTGTTTTAGGGGAAAGGTTAAAGGCTTAGGGGGAACAGGAGGAAAAATCATCCGATCTCCCCTAATTGAAATCAAACCTAGGGTATGCATATGGGCCTCCAACAATTTCCACATACTGCCACTCTCTCAGAATCGCCGTTGCCCGGCAACCGGATATATGAATCTATGATATGAAAATAGTCACAAGTTCGCGTCCCGGTGCCAGAGGGGATTTTAAATTCCCCGCCCTCACCCTCTGGTCCGGGAAAATCCCGTATAGCCTAAAATGCGATATATAACCATATCGCTAACTAAAATATAACCATGTTTTTTTCGAAAAAAATATTTAAAAAGTATCTCTTAAAGTATTATTGTTCGTGTAATTGCATT